TCTGTAAGTAACCAGGAATGAAGTGCTCCCACGTGCAACATTTCTCATTTACTCTGCTGAGGAGTCAGGTGCCTTTCCTGGAAGGAGCCCTCAGCACCTGCCCAGGTTATGAAGGTGCTCCCCCCACCCTCAGCACCTGCCCAGGTTATGAAGGTGCTCCCCCCACCCTCAGCACCTGTCAAGGTTCTGAAGGTGCTCTGCTTGTCCTCAGCACCTGCCCAGGTTATGAAGGTGCTCCTCTGGTGTCTCCCCACTGGGAAAAGTGCAGTTCAGGGCAGGGGTGGAACCTCCTCTCACACAAGTTGTGTTCTTTAAGACAGCTTTAACAATAATGAATTGGTAATAAATTGATTAACATATCATGGTTGTTTGATTTTGATTGTTTCATAAGTCCAAAAAGACAAGCACATAATTCAGTGAAAATTTCAAATCTACATGTACACTATAAAACAGGTGGTTTCCCTCTTATCTGACTTTGTGTGTGCATGTATTGAGAAAGGGGAAAAATGAAGAGTCTAGAAGTTTTATAATTATGCTTTATTAACCTAAACACTAAGTGAGGAGTCATGATCTATTCTCTTTTTATCCTGGTTATTATAAAGTGTAACCAAAAAAAACAGAAAAGTCCCCCTCCCCCAAAAAAAACAAACAATGATTTTTTTTTTTGGCAGGGTCTCACTATGCAGCCCTGGCTGGCCTGGGACTCAATATGCAGGCCAGAATGGCCTCAAACTCTCAGAGGTCCACCTACCTCTGCCTTTGAGTGCTAGGATTGAAGGTGTGCGCCACTAGACCACAATGAGCTACCAGGCAATCAAAAAGACAATTAAACAATACACATTCCAATGGCTGTTCTTGGAAAAATCATTAATTTATATTTAAAATATTTTTGGAGTTTAACTTAATTTTTCTTTAGGTATAAACTTATTAGATTTTTGGGATATGAAGTATCCAGTTTTTCATGTGTAATGTAATTTATATCTACTAAGCAGTATTTTACAGATGTTTTGATGTCAAATGAATAGCATCATGATGAGTGGTGAACATTCATTTTAAAAGGCATGCACAAGAGACAGAGTACATTTCTATATAGTGTTCAAAAGGGTTCTTCAGTCAATTCTATTTTAAAGTATTTTAGCATCTGATGAAAATTACTTGCCATTTCTTATGAAAAACATACATGTTCACAGAAGTTTTTTTTTTCAAACTCAGGCAAGTAGAGTTCTTAGACTGAGGCGCTAGAGTAGGTCTGCAACTCCAGCCAAATCTCAGCACCACCTCTCTGTATGTCTTTAAATGACAGAAATCACAGCAAAAGAACACTTTTGACACATGAAGTTATATAATATTCAAATTCAATTTCCTAAATAAAGTTGCATTCAAATTCAGCCACACCCATTACTAAATTATCACACTGTCTAGTTACAGTGGAAGGCACCATGCGTGTGCCCTATCACACTGTATAGTTGCAATGGAATGTACTCAGACACATGTCTTTGTACACAGTCTAGTGATGGTGGAAACAGCCACGCCTGTTGTCTAATTACAGTAGAGTGAAGACACACTCACGCCCGGCACACTGGCTAGTTGAGGTAGAATGAAACCATACTCACGCCCAGCACACTGGCTAGTTGAGGTGGAATGAAACCATACTCATGCCCAGCACACTGGCTAGTTGCAGTGGAATGCAGTTATGCACATGTACTAGCACTCTTGCTTTGGCTACCTGGCACCTGCAAAACTAGGGTCACTAGTTTTAAGGCCCCAAATGTTTATCTGTGGTTCTTTACATAAATATATGCTGACCAGTGATTAACATTTTCAAAATATATTTTGTGCTTTTAATTATAGCCTGCTGGACAGTTGCTAAAATAAGCTTAAGTTTGGCTAGGATTTGAAAGGGTTCTCTGCTTTTAAAATAATGTTAGAAATCATTAACATGGTGTGTGTAATGGTATTTAACAGAATGATGAAATGTGTATATTGCTTTAAGTGAAAATTAAATGGAATAAATTAAATATCAATTATATCAATATTTTTAAAAAGTAAAATAAAAAAAGAAAACATGCCGAAATATTAAGCCTCTGGACTGAGATCATAGAGTTTTAAAATGTTTTTTTTTTTTTTGGTTTTTCGAGACAGGGTTTCTCTGTGTAGCTTTGCGCCTTTCCTGGAACTCACTTGGTAGTCCAGGCTGGCCTCGAACTCACAGAGATCTGCCTGGCTCTGCCTCCCGAGTGCTGGGATTAAAGGCGTGCGCCACCACCGCCCGGCGTAAAATGTTTTAATATGTAGTTCTTTGGAAATCAAATATTGTAAAGTATCACTTTGACAATAAGAGAAATATTGGATAAAATTAGAGTATAGCTGTTCAATTTAGAAAAGTCATTGGTCAAAGGTTAGACGTTTCTGTCATAGTATAATTATAAAAATGTTCCTGGAGTAAACAAGTAGGTATAATTGTAGGTCTAGAAATCACTTTTGAAACAGAATCTTAATTTAGACTTCATGGTAGCTTAGTGCCAGTATTTACATTTTCCCAAATGACAGTTGTATCCACATAGCTGCTAAAGAAATGTTAACCTTCATGTGAAGAAAACCTGCACATTAGAAGCACGGTTAGTTCTACACTGGCAGGCATTTAATCAAAATTTATGATAGAAACCCTTTTCCCCATAGAAGTCTCATCTTAATTACATGTCACAATCATAGGATTGTTAATATTTTTAAGAGTGCTAACACTTCTGACAAAATTATCAAATGATTACCTTTTTTTTTTTTTTTATAGAACCAGGAAAATATGCCTGCCTGTAATCTGTTCATTTTCACCTATTATTAATTCATTTACTCATCAACTAGATTAAGCCAGTTTAACACTACAGAAAAAAAAATGGTTAATGTATTCAATTTTTTTTTTATGTCTAGTGTTAATGACAACCAGAGATGCTGCTACACTGTTATTTGAGAACCGGCTCATCCAGTCCAAGAGTTCCCCTTGCCTTTCAATGAAGTCTGTAGACTGTTAGTATCACCAGAACTTACTCGGAATTCAAAGCTGTCATGAATGGAGGTTGGGCTCATAAGGCCTCAACAAGAGGTGGGCAGAGGAGGGGAGCTACTCCTTCAACTAGCAGCAGGGAGTCAGTTAAAGGGCTACTGTCAACCAAGTGAAAGAAGACGAGAGGAAGAGAAGAGAAGAGATTACTCTATCCTGGGTCTTGGCTGAGGCACAGCCTGGATCATGGTATCTTTGATTGTAAGAGCGTGTACCTGTTGGAAGTACAATCTGAAGCAGAAGGAAGTACCTAGTTGTAATGTGTGAAGTTTGAGAATGTTGTTAGACAACCAAAGAGAGATGTGTAGCCAGGGCCAAAGAGGCAGCAGACAGAAATAATGTAAGTTAGTAGGCCATTCTGGAAGGATCCTAGTGCTATCCCTGTCACGCTCCAGCTGGTGCCCTGGGTGCCCCTATACCACTACATTCAGTTTATTATTGTTGTTGTTCTGAGACGGGGGTGTTGGCCACATGAGCCATGTGGTCTGACTTAGAGGCAGGTACACTTTCTAGCTGATCATTTTGAGAGGATTTGAGGGATTTTTGAGGGAAACATCCCCTATCCACTCCTCCTCCCTCTCTTCAAAGGCCCTTCTATGCTATCAGTGGTTACCCAAGACGGGAAGATGTTATTTATACAAGAGTAACGAAATACAAGCTTTAACTGACAGCTGAGTCAAACTTCCATGAGTTGAAGTTTTTGATTTTCATTTCTAAAGAGACCATGGTTCCTATATTGAAAACCATCAAAAAAACAAAGCTTCCCTAAAATGTTCTATAAAAACACTTGTTTTCAGTATAATAAGTAGATAATGTAAGTATTATAAGTAGAAAATACTTAGGCTTGCATATTCCAAATTAAAAAGTCTTTACTCGAAACACTGCTGTGGGCAAACACGCTGAAGAGGAGAGAAAGCTGATTGTCAGTGAGATGACGTCGCTTTAGATGGAAACCTGGCACGCAGCTAAGGTCAACATAGAACTCTATAGCAGCAGAAAACAGACACAATGCATTGACTTTCCTCATTAAGCAATGTGGCTTGTGACTTCAGGCATCTATCTTGACATGTATGCTTAGAAATATTTTCTGTGATGTACATGTATTTGTGCTAAATTTACTAGGATTTACACATGGCAGCATTGTAAACCTGAAATAATGGCCAAAGTGGCTCAAATATTTACTTTCTTTGTAGGTACAAGAATTGCACATTTTATTAATGCTTTAAGTTTCTACATTTCTATACTCCAAAACAGCTAGCATACTGAATTTGGTTTCTAATGGATGACAGTTACCAAAGAGGGTATGCCTAAAAAAGGGAGACAGATGAGTCCGTTCTGCCCAAATAATGGCATCTCAATTTCAAAAAGCAGCACGTTAGATGCATATATCATATATTTATGGGAGTGGGACATAGAGGCATTTTACTGCAACCTCTGGAAACAGATTAGAATTGTTCTATGCCTGCTTCTAGACAGTGGTAAGATTTTTCTGGAATATAGGAGGCTTCTGATTAACCCCTTTACTTAAAAGCTAAGACTTTAAGGTGCGTTCTGTATGAATAATTCAGTCATGAAATATCCCAATGCTAACATTATTCACTCAACTAAATTAAGCAGAATAAAACCTGGAATATCTCCTCTTCCCCTTTTATGAAAAAGGAAAATGCCCCTGTATTAAGACAATTAAAAACCTGGGAGGCAATTCCAGTTACACCGTGCTGCCTCCATGAGTGTCATCAAAATAAGAAATCTGTAAAACTCAAGAAAAAGAATATCAAGCAGGAATCAGCTCTAATAGCCAAGCTTCATGGTATGTACCCACCCTCCAAGCAAAAGTTTATCTTAAGCATTTCCTGGAAAGTTTGTAAAAATCTCACAGTTAAAAATTTTAAGAAGCCCTAAAATGCCATATAAACAAACAAAGGAAGCTTTAGAGAAAACTCACTGTTTCTTCAAGCTGCTTTTTCCTTTGATTTACAGAGTCCGGGATAGATGGTGGATTCACCTCTCCATCACAGGCATGTCAATTCCAAAAGGAACAGAATGGGTCACCAGCACTAACTCTCCCTACAGCCTTCAACTTTGTAGGGAAAAACAGGCTCTCTCCTCCAACTCTGTGACACACACACAAGGCTCCTCCTCAGCTAAAAACCACTCCTTGTCAATTTCTACTTAAAACCGCAAGGAAAAACTTCCCTTCAGAATATCCTTAAAGGGAAATTTGACCAGTGTTAGTAGCTCAAGTATCTGGCTAAGCCCCAAAGTTTAAAATATAGAACATTTATGCAGACACACACACTTGAGAATTTCCACTGACTAAGCTCGATTAAGGCCATAACTGTAAAAAAGTGCTCTCTGAAAGTATTGTGTTTTGTATTTCCTTAATCAATCCAGTTTTGGTTTTGTTTTCTGGTGGCTACCCAAATCCTCCTTATGGGTAGGAACCATCTGAAGGGCAGTCGTTTCTGTTGTGTTGTCTGGGAGATGAGAATTCTCACCTTTGGAGTTCTTTGTAGAGCAGCTGAGACGTTGCTGGTTGCCTCCACCACGTCTTTCTTGGGAAGTTTGAGAATTTGGAGGGTTGGACGTGGAATGAAACAACTCAGGACAGTTACCTGCTTTCTGCACTTGCAGTGTGGATGGTCTTCTGCCGGTGTCCCAGGGGCTGGCGCCAATTGTTATGTCACTTGTCATTATGTTATGTCACTTGCAGTGTGGCTGGACTTCTGCCTGTGTCCCCAGGGGCTGGCACCAATTCTTCTGTGATTATCCACACTATGTGACTTCATTTAAGCGCAAACTCATCAGGCCTTTTGAAATCTTCAAACTAGGCAGTGTCCAGAGAAGTCAACTGTATCAGAAGAGAGGCTTGGTCACGAGAATTCTCAGTGGGTCACACCGACCTCTATGACAAATGGTATTTGTTCTTAGAATTTCCATTTGAGGCCATTCCTTCAGTTTAGAAGGTGGGAGAAGAGAAGAAATACGCTGCCATAACTTGATTTTATTTCTTGACCAGACTTACACTGTCCTTGTTTTAAGCCATGAAGGCATATGTTAGTATTTCCTGAAGTCAAACTCACTTGGGTTTTATATGTGGGGCATTTCGATGAAACATGATTAGCAACAACATCTGATCAGCAAAAGCCTATCTGCCTTTCCTTAGTGACAGAATTGAGTACTTGCTAACTAGGAATTTTCTTCCACCCACAAGAAGGGAAGCAGTCTCGGTGATGTCACAGCACTCATGTCCCCACCCGGTTATGAGGTCACTGCCCTCTTGGTTTACACTCAAACTCTTCAAGAAGATGGCTTACACTCACGGATTCAACTTCATTGAACCCCTCAGTTTATTGCGATTTGTCTTTCACTTGAACTCTCCACCAGAAAGGACAAAAAACAAAACAAAAACAAAAAAAAACCCAAACAAAAAAAAAACATTAGGATCATGAAGTCTGATGACTAGAATCTCCCGAGCACTGTCACATTTTACAGGAAGTTCCTCTGGCCGGGCCTGTTCTTGAAGCCTGCTTCCTTCCTTTCACTAAGTGACTCTTCTGGTTCCCTCCTTCGCTTTCTCCCCTTAGGTAGTGTTTCTCTACACTCCACGGTGTTCCTTACGAGCCGCTTCACAATTACACACTTCAACCAGCAAACCTTTGGTGTCATCTGCCCTGGCACCACTAGGTTGCCAGAGTGTAGCCTGTGATCTACTGGAATCTTCGTCTGTGACTTGTAGCCATCTCAGTCCTGAATGAAGCTTTTTATCTTCTTCCTATATCCTCTCAGGGCATGGCACTGCCATCCACCTGTCATCTGAGATCTTAGGTTCCCTCACTTACTCTCCACCAGCCTCTATTCCAGCAGCTTCTGCTGGCTCTACTTTAGTAAGTAACATCTCTTAGGAATATCATCCATTACCCCTTCATTCCAGATGTAATAGAACTATAGAAATTGCTTTAACAACCACAAACAGTTGCCTCTGCTCAGTGTGGTTCCCTCTTATCCTTTCTTTATATTATTACAGAGTGATGTTTACTTTAAAATGTCTTATTGAATTATAAAAATGCATGTTGCCTAAACTCTGGAAGAATTAAAAAAAATACAGAATTTAAAATTACTTTCCAGCATAACCTAAATATTTACCTTTTTCCCCTAGAATTTTGTGTGTATATGTTAACTACATAAGGCAATATAAGTATTTGGATAAATGTTTACATTTAGCTTCAGAGTTACAGAATATACTTAGTGAGAAAAGACTGACTATATAGTGCACAGCTATAAGGAAGTATTCCCATTTCTAGGTTCACTGATAACAAAAGGCAAATTAAAGAGAAAAGCATATGTATTAGTCACTTTTATAATCCTGTAATAAAACATCACGATCAAGGCAACTTATAGAGGGAAGGCCTTACAGTTCCAGGGGGATAGGAATGCATCACTATCATGGCAGGTAGGTGTGACAGCAGGCAGGCATGGTGACAGAAGCAGCGAGCTGAGACCTCACATTGTGAACCCAAGCCAGAAACAAGAGAAGAAACTCGAAATTCCATGTAGCTCTTGAAACCTCACTGGTGTTTTTCCTCTGTTAAGTCCACACATCCCAAACCTACTCAGAAAGCACTACTAAATAGGAACCAAGTATTCAAACATCGGAGCCTATGGGGGACATTCTCATAAAACCCACTACAGCAGCCGGGCTGTGGCGGCGCACACCTTTAATCACAGCACTCAGGAGGCAGAGGCAGGTGGATCTCTGAATTTGAGGTCTACAAAGTGAGTTCCAGGACAGCCAGGAATATTAAAGAAAAACCCTGTCTCAAAAAATCCACTCCCCACCAAAAAGCCTAAAAACCAAAAGCAAAAGCAAACTGCTACAGCATACAAATTTCTTACTTGACCTGGACACTTCAGAAAGTCTCAAAAGTCATTTTTTTCCCTATGTTTGTTGAAGAGTGTATAGTTGTGAATTATGACTGGACAGGGAGGGAGCAGGGTATTAGGGTAGTAAAACAGAGGACACATAGTAGGAAGCCATGATTATCCATACTCTTCTAGGCCCCTAGGCTCTTACTTAATATACTGAGACTTTCTGAATCAATAAAATATTATCTGTACAGTAGCTATGAATAATGGCTGCAGTAAACAAGTAGGACAATCTTCGTGACCCTTTAAGGTTATTTAAATTATTATTTAAATTTTTTAATATTTAAAAATGTCATTCATTAAAAATAAGAACATACTAATAATAGTGACTCAAGATGTATGTGGAAAATATATATCCCAGAGGAGTTTTTTATGTATGTTTTTAATCTTATTGCTTATGTAACACTGAAGTAAAGGTTTCATGGACTTAAGTGAAAAAAAAAACAAACCAAAACCAAAGACAAACCTTCTGCCCCACCCTTTTTTCATCCAATTTGTCATAAGTAGTTTTTGATAGAAAAACAACAAACAACAAAAAGAAAACATTTGGGCCTGGGGTTGATGACATTTCCACAAAAGTCATAAATGGTTCCTTGTCTGTCTAGCTCTCTGCTACACTTGGATCTCATTCATTATCTGAGTAAAGCACTTTTCCAAAATGTCCAAGGTAGTCCCACACAGAGGTCCAGCCACTTTCCATTCACGCTCTGTAGCACTGTGGCTTTTGCTCAAAGCACACTGATTCTGAAGATACCTGTTCCTAGTCAGCCTATCTTCTGGGTGGTCAGAAGGGGGTTTCCATTGACTATACTTGTCTACAGATGGAACACACCGAACATTACAAGTGGGGCATGTTTTCTCATGGCTCTATTATAGTGGCAGGAATTAACAGATATGAGAACATGGCTATACAACTGCTGAAATCTGGCTGAGAAATGATTTATGAAGATGAACAGCAAACTTTCAAACAATGAAAAACACCAGGAAGCAAGGAATTATTTTTGAGTAATAAAAATATCACTTCCTTTAACAATCAGTAATTCAAAATAGAAGCATTATATAGATTGCATTTGGTAAGTACTTTCAGAATAGCATATAAAATTTAATAGAATAGACAACTTTATTTTAAATAATGTTCTTAACCCAGTTCATTAAGAATATATCAGAAATTATGCCGGGCGGTGGTGGCGCACGCCTTTAATCCCAGCACTCGGGAGGCAGAGCCAGGCGGATCTCTGTGAGTTCGAGGCCAGCCTGGGCTACCAAGTGAGTTCCAGGAAAGGCGCAAAGCTACACAGAGAAACCCTGTCTCGAAAAACTAAAAAAAAAAAAAATATATATATATATCTGAAATTAATTCTTTACAAAGTCAGCTATATAATTTTATTTATAAAACAATAAACACTTTCCATTTACTAAGGAAAAATAAGAATGTTTGGGACAAGTAAAATAAATGCAAGTAAGATTAACAAAGTTTTATACTTTTTTTCTACTTTATTTTTGTAAGTGAAATTAAAATGAGTTTATCTGATCATCTCTTGTATTTTTATAGGCAGAGTATGATGCAAACATGGATTACTTCAGTGTTTTCTGAAACAAATAATGTTGTTAAACAAAATCTGACATTCTATGTATTTATTAATTTGGAAGCTGAATAAAAAAATAAAATAATTTTGGAGTCACAGAGAATTTATTCCTTTTCTTCTTTTGCTTATATGAAAAGATGCAATAGAAAGTTACCCATGTGAAACCATTTATATCATTTTCTTGTGAGGAGGGTGTTTTGTCTGCATGTGTGACTATGCACGCTGTGTGTGCTTGGTGCTCAGAGGCCAGCGGCATTGGATTTCCTGGGATTGGAGTTACAAAGCAGCCATGTGGTGCTGGGAATCAAACCCAGGTCTTCTGGAAGGGCAGACACTGCTCTTACCCACTGAGCCACCTCTCCAGCCCCTTAATGTTTTCTATAAAGTTCCATCATAAACTTTAACAAATGCTTAATTAGTAATTAATTACTTCCATGCAGTATTAATACTCTGTCATTGTGGAAAAGAGGTAGTCTTATTTTGAATTTAAACATTTTTAAAATATAAAAATTACAATGTCCCCTAAGGCATTATATAAAACAGCATTCTTTAAACATTTTATTACACAGAATAATTAAACTTTTTGAAAAGTAATAGGATACTGCTAAGAACTTACTTGGTTTGAAGTATTGTTGCAAGGAACTATTTTAGTAAGCCTTAACTAATAATAGCAAAAATAAAAAAGAAAACGTTTTATAATTTCTATTTTTAAAATAAAAGTTCTGCATGGTTTAATCACACTTACAGATTCTGTGTTCATTAGAAAAATAGCCTATCTACCTGTTATACAGGTTCCAACAAAGAACTCAGGGTAAAGCAGCTACTGAAATCAAACAAACAAAACTTAGAAATCTAAATCTAATCAAAGAAACATCCCGGTTCTTTTAGCCTCCCCACTACACAATGTGCCTTGCACTGTCTCGCAGTGACCTCAGGCTTGCCCTCATTGTTTCCTGGGGCTTGCTTCAGGAGAGCAAGCACTCATGCTTCTCCAGGGTCCTCGCCTGTCAAGCCACCTCTCAGGCCTCTGCAAACATTTATGTCGGAGGCCTTCTATCTGTCAAAAGCAAGAGCTGGAGCTTAGTGATACAAAATATTATCTGAAACTTTCTAGTTTTAAAGCATTATCTATTAATTTAAAAGTAAAATGGATTCATTTTTATTTCAGACATAACAAAGACATTTTTCCATGAAAAAATACATTATTTTAAATATCTGCCAAAATACAGGAATAGCACTTAGAAATTAAATAGCAAACAATTTCTTTCCTAGAGATGAAAAGTATTCTATTTTATTCTTCATTTTAACTTCTTGAAAACATTAAAGCATATAATACGTTCTAGAATCAGAACTCCTTGAAGAACTTTTATTACATTAAAAATTACACATAGGATTATGTAAAAAGAAAATGTTTCATGGAAAACTCAACTTGTAAAAATTTCCATAAGATTTGCACCTAATGCAAAACCACTGTTTTATTTGAATTGTGTGGGGAGGATTAACAGGGGGGAGTGGGGTGTGCTGAGTGACTAATTTGGTGATCACTTATCTTCAACTTTGGGGAAAATAAAAATAAATTAAGGGCACTACTCCTCAGTCACAGATGATTTCCTGGACTTCAGAACAAGGTCCTTAACTGATGAAGACAGTTCCTGAAGCTCCTTCCGGGTAGTATTGGTGACATCGTGTTGTTCCTTGTCTAATTCATCAGAGGACAGATCTTCCTTCTGCCCACTCTTCTTAGTTTGATTGACTAACTGTTTTACAACCAAACCTTGATATTTCACCAGGAGAGTATGCTGGTCCTGTGAAAAGAACAAAGAACCTGTTCGAAGCACATCTGATTTTCTGTGACCAGATAAAGTAGATTTGTTTGAGCAGTACAAACTGAAAGGCCTTATTTTCATGAAACAATGGCCACGTTAGTGAAAAGCTGAGTATGGCAAGCAAGGTCTGTGCTCTTGGAGTGCAGCTAGGGTGCAGATCAGGAAAAGGAAAGCCTGTGCAGACTACATCATAGGAAGCTGATTTAGCTATGTTCTATCATCAAAAACACAAAATCGTAAGAGTCAAAGAAGCCAGATTGCTTTTAGCTGGGGGCTGGCTTCCTTAGATGAATTGGATAAGACATTTAGAGGGGTCCTTGGAAGCTAAATGAAAACTAGGGAAACAGAGAGAAGTTCTGACATTCTTGTATCTTTTCTGAAAACTTAAATTCTAAAATTAGAGGACTTTTCACCATGGATCTTAGAGAATACTAAAAGATTCTTGAACTACACTCAATTATTAAAAAAAAAAAAAAAAAAAAAAAAAATCAACCCTTAACTCACTGTCCCCATTCCTGGATACAGACAGATATTAGTGGCTTCTCTCTCTCTCTTTTTCTCTCTCTCTCTCTGTCTGGCTGAGTGCTGGCAATGATTCGCATCCAAAATACTCCAAGTTTAAAAGCTTGAAAAATTTCCCATGTATTAAAGTGTAATACCTCTGGGATTTTGTTCTGAAGAAAAGCAATGATCTGTGGGACACATCTTCCAGGTGCATGGAGCATGCTGTGGGTTGAGAACTGAAATAACAGGACTGATGTGAGGTGCAAAACAAGAGCAGGGTCTTCTGTGACCTTCAGCTGTTCTGCCAGCGCCTGCCGATGCTGGAAGAGTATTTGTCTGCAAAGCACAATCACAGACATGCATAATTAACAAGGACTCACTGTTTACATATTTTCCCTTTAGCATTCCCTTCTCTAGTTTAGTGACTCGGCTCCACAGCATTTGAAGGAATTCTTTAAATATGGACAATCTGTATACACACTACTTTAACTTGAGTTGGCACAGGTAGATAAACATGCTAAGAAGTTACAGAGCTATGAGACAAGGAAGCTCAAAGTATACATTCTTCGGTTGCTGGAATCAAACAAGCTCTAATGACTTAAATAAGGTTTCAGGTAAAGAAGGTCTCAAATCTAATACAACACCCCAGGATGAATCCTCCGTGGGATTAGGGAAGTGAGCAGACTCTCAATGAAACGCTCGACAGTCACACTCCAATATCAGATATGAACGTAGCTCATGTTGAGGAGCAGCAACAAGAGAACCAACGTTACCTTTCCCTTTTTTTGTCTCCCTTTTTCACCATAATGTCACAAGCTTCTGTTGCAGAATCCAGACAAGAAAGGAAGTCTTCTATGCTCTGGAGACATTTAATTACACAATTTACTTTTATAGACATTTAATACTGGTTTGCAATTTTACACCCCAAACAAAAATTTTTAACAGAGTATTTGGCAAACAGAAATTGTGATTTAGGACTAAAAATGTTACATGCTCCCATCTTTCTCTCCCCTTTACCTCCCCGAAAGGTACCTGCACACAGAGTCCTAGTTTTAGATTCCGTTTACAGTGATTCTGATTGGAAATGTATGCACACAGTGCTATATCCACGAAGTTCTAACTGGAGTCACCAGCTAGCATTGACTTACTTTTTCATTCAGAGAGTTGTGCAGTTTGGTGAGAGCTACTTTGGTTTCTTCTGTCAATTTACTTAAAATTTTTCTTCTTATCTGTAAGGGAAAAATTCTTTTGGCATTGTGTTTTTGATACATGTTCTATATAAGATGAAACAGACGAATAAAACCCCCATATATTCAGTACTATGTAATATATCTTGTGTTCTGAATGTTAGGTCTCAAACCAGGGATTAAAAATGTTAAAAAAAATTACAGAATCATAGAGCTAGCCAAACGTTAGCCAAAAGACTTCTGTGCAGCCTCATCTTTACAGTCACCAGTGGTATTAGATGACCACAGAGTGACTGGCCATGTGGGAGGAGACTTTGGGTAAACAGACAGCCAGGGGTTTTTCTTCTCAGTGCCACCTGAAAGAGGGCCACTGAGCCCCACGGCTCTCACACAGAAAGGGATGCCTGTAAGAAGGGCAGTGGACCCTGTTCTGTGGCTAGATGCTTTTGTGATAAGCGGTATAAGGAAGCTTTCTTCATTTTTCACAGATGTAGATACTGTGAATTTCGTGGTATTGTGGATTAGACGGATCATTCCTTCTAGTGCATTTCAGGGAGGGGTTGCTGAAAAGCTTGACCGAAGGACCTGGCTGGTGTGCTGTGTCTGGGAAGACAGGCTACTCAGAGCCTCCTTGTTCTGTCTCCTATCAATCCTTAGCTTCGTTTCAGGCCACAGAAAAAGACTGCCAGAATTGGACTTCCTAGAGTAGAAGTCAGTAAAGAGACAGGAGACATGCAACATTTCAGGGTGTTGGGGGTCGTTGCTCAAAGCAAAAGAGGAGGAATCCAGTATCTTCCCAGTAGTAGAAGAGGTAAATAACTGCACTTCTGTCTGTATTGGAGGGTGGTCTTTATTAAATAAGGGAGTCACCACATCAAGAAAAATCATGCCACCTCTGTGGCAACAAACCACAGTAATAGAGGTCACAGCATTAGATGGGTGTGGTTTTACCACTTTCAAAGCCAGTTATAAGTGCAGATAGCTACAGGAATACCTTCTCACTCATTTTGCCCAAATCTTCAACCATAAGATGGTCCCAGAAGGAAAAGAAGGAAGAGAAAAGAGGTGGCGGAATGGTTATCATTACCACAGGAATAGAGTAAACTCTTTTACCTGGAGGTAACTGAGCCA